GAGAGAGAGAGAGAGAGAGAGAGAGAGAGAGAGAGAGAGAAGATGTACGTTGACAATGGAGTAGAGGCTGTAAACGATCAAAGTCAACGCAATTTACTGTCACGGCTCAGTATAGGCCTGATCCCGCTGCCAGTGGATAGCAACCGACATGGCTTAGATTCGGACTTACTCAGCAATCCAGCACTGGCTGCAAAATTGTGGCAAAAATCGAAAAAAAAAAACAAAAAAAAAAACAAAAAAAAACTGATTAGCATGAGGGTTCTTCACTTTTGCAGCTTTCAGTATACTTTGGGAGATCCGACGGTTGTCCCTACTAGCTGGGAACTCCAAGGGAAAGGTACTTCCAGGCCTGTGAGCGGTCGATGTCAACAGACAGACACAGACAGGCTGGCGTGATTGCCACTCGACGAAATTCAAACTGAAGGGTTTTTTTTTTTTTTTTTTTTTTTTTTTTTTTTTTAATTATTTATTTAAATGTCTCTTTAAGCTATTATTGAACCCTTTGAATGAAATGAAGATGAATCTTAACCATGCACACATCTCACATCTCCTCAGCAAAATTAAAAAGAACTTAGTAAGGTAAAAAACAATCCTAGCGCAATATGAATTACTTCAAAACATACATTCCAGTGATTCCTTTAGTGTCTCCGCAACAAATTCATAACCTAGCTGAAGCGTACCCACTGCTGGCGTCGCCACACCCCTCTCCAAACGTGAAAAAGACAAAAACGTGGCGGCTGCATCTGGCCATGTTCTAGCAGGAGGTTCGTTCTCATTTTGCACGTTTCGAGAGTTGTGTGCCCATATGCCCTACCCATTGCTCATCCAGAGATGAAATTGGACCATTGAAAAAATCCTGTTGCGGAGACCAGTTAGGCGTTGCTCCTCGTTTAAAGAAAATGTAAAGATGTGACAAGAACAAATACAAAAAAAATAAAACCAGATATTTCTGAATTGCCTGAATTGGCTGGGGGCAAAAAAAAAAAAAAAAAAAAAAAAACCTGTTTGGTTTCGGGCACCCAAATCTTCTTTCCGGTTTGGCGCCAACCGCCAACCGGAAAACGAACCTGGTGCAGGTACAGACATGGGCTCACGGAACCTGGCGCAGATACGGGGATGGGTTCACGATCCGGCAGGAAGGGGCCCAGCTCTCCGGGACTCGGTCTCGGGTGCCAGATTTCTGCATCGGACGGCCCCTGTTGCCCGTGAGGGCCTTTTCCCAGCCGGTAAAGGTTTGCGCACCCCCAAAACCAAAATGGTTTTGATGTGGGCGCCTTCCACCAATAATCCCAGTGTCGGGATCTGCAGTCTCACTGTTTTTCCTTTTTTCTTTTTTCCCTTTAAACCCCCCTCCCCTCTCTACCCTCGTCTCGCTTGTTTTCTGAAACAGGAAGTCCTTTTCTGCAAGTCCTGGGCAAGCTTGTTGCCGGCAAACCTCGAGATAGGCCGTTGGTCCCCTCGAGTGGCATTGAGCAGAGACTGCTGATGTTCATAGGGGGAGGGGACCACCACCTGAGGGGAGGCACAGTGACTGGCCCATCGAAGAAGGTAAGCTCTGTCCTGATGCTACTGGCTGACCCCTGGCCGGTATAGCCCACCTGCTGCAGCAGGTGCAGCTCCCGCAAACTGAAACGGCACTTTTTAGTGATTCCGTAAAAAATAAAAATCCGAATTCCCTGTGTCCGGTGACTCCGGTCAGTTCCTTTGTTTCTTTTTTTTAACTTCACCAATGTGGCCCCATGGACCAGGGGTCAAGTCCCACTAGCAGCCTTGAGCTACCTCAACGCCTGAATCTGGACGTGTTTGTGGAGACGTGCAGTTCAGGAAACTGGATACCATTTCTGCACATCTCCGCAAAAACGTCCAGATTCAGGCGTTGAGGTAGCTCAACGCTGCTAGTGGGACTTGCCCCCAGGGATCAGATGTAGTACACTTCGTTTATTTTTTTGGCCAAACGACCGAGAAAGGCATACGTCAGTTCAATGACGGGCCGTAGGAGGAGAACAGAAAAAGACGCCTTTCAACGTATAACAGTATAAAAGCGCCAACAACTCACATTCGGAATCGGCAAATAGCAACGAAAGGCACAGCGCTCATTCGCTCGCTCGCTCGCAAGCTGGGAATCACCACACAGGCCTGCCGCCCGCGGCAAAGGCCGCCATCCACCGCAAACACATCTTCACACCCGCCGGTCTGCCGCTCTGTCCACTCTTCCTGCAAGCAATCGGGCACCTCCAGTGATCTCTCTCTCGCGGCTATCTCCGATCGCCCGTCGAGTCGTCTACTTCATCTTTTTTTGCTGTTGCTTTCACACCAGCACCAGGCCGTCCCTTTGTAGTCAGCAGAGGCTCTCCCCTCCCCCCTGCCTCGTCGCCATCAGATCACCGTCGGGACCAATTTCTTTGAGACGTCAACACGATTGGCATGATGAAGACCGTGTCAGCGGGCAACATGATCGGCACTTTCCTGTTCGTGGCGATGGCGACGATGCTCGCTTCATCACCCGCGGGTGCGGCTCCGCTCACGAACTGCGATTTTTTCACCGCCTGCAGCAAGTGGGTCATACCTACGCTGAACATCTGTCCTGGTGGCGACAAGGCGTACACCCAATGCAACGGCCGCATCAAGCACAATGTCAAAACGTAAGTAATTATACGTTGTCGCTCACTGACCGATTCACGGTCACCCGTGCCAGGAAGGAGTTACTTCATACTACTCCATACTTATTCACTTCATCAGCGTACTGAGTGGGTTCATACTTAATAATAATAACTTCACCATCGTAATTATCTTATTGTTATACGTCGTTCGTTCAGGATCGTTTTAGTCGGTCATTCTCACTCGTAGGAGGACTGTTCTGAATGAATCTGGATGCATTGACGGTCCCGTTCGCTTGCCAGCCGCTCGTGCAACAACCGATGCATGCCCAGCTGCGGACGTGGCATAGGGCCAGCCAATTCGTCAGGACCACATACTATTAACGAGTATGCGTACACTTTGTTCCGCAACGTTCTTGATCTCAATCTTAGTTCATTTATCCACGCAAAATAGGCAGCGTGATTTTGCGAATGAATCTCCGCTGATTTTTTTTGCATGTATACAAAGGCAACTTGAAGGTTTTTTTTTTTTTTTTTTTACCACCTTGCACTTCACTCGGCTAAGTCATTCAGTTTGTCCGACTTCAAAATGACCTGATCGTATGATGTCAAATTGGACAAGGGGTGGGGCTCTAACGCAGTGTATTCGTGTGCCTCTAATTTTTTCTCTTTTTCTGTGCGGGGCTGTGTGTGCGCACTTCTTCTCTGGCTCGTTGTGGATGCAGTGACACAGCGACGGTGGACATCGCAACGCAGAATGTGAACTCTCAATGGTGTGGAATGAGCGCCAGTGAGAACGGTCCGTGGAACACAATCAAGTGCGCCAACAAGTTCACCACCATTCAGCAGTGGGTCCACAAGAGGAACCTTCAGGATGACGCGCCATGGTTCTTGAACAAGTACATCAAGATCCAAATCTCAGCCGCGCAGTACCAGGGAGGATGGGGCAATTACAACAGCAAGGGGAACCCCCGCGACTGTGTCATGATCAAGACATCTAGCTTCTTCGCCAACCCCAACGGCACTCCGTGTTCCCAGTGAAGTATGGTCACCGCCTCAACAGCGACGGGAAGACGCACGCCAGTACAAACTGTACAATTGACAATTGCCGATGCATCCGACAAAAACGTTGCAGTCCAAACCCGCAGAAGCTAGTCGCATCCCAGTGTAATCATGCCCTAAGCAGCTGGAAGGAGCGCTTTACTGTGCCATTCTGAAACTCAGTTTGTCTTGTGTGCACACTGCACAGCAGCACGAATGAATGTGAAGCTGACAGTTTGATGAGCTCACCAAGGAAGTAACTGGGAATCCTACGTGGTGGCTCTTTTGATTGTCAGCCAAGTGAGTTTCCCGTCTTTACCATGCGGAGACCGAAGGCGGCACCATATGAAGAGTATACATCGGTTGTCGTCGAAGACGAGGAGAAATCACATTGATCAGGGTGGATGTCATGATGCTGATCGGTGTTGCAAAGAATGGTCAACGGATAGCTCTGTACCTATATTACCGTTCTAGCAGAAAACGTTCGAAATAGTGCCAAAGCTATCTGCCATGATTAATACAAGACGACACTCGTGGAAGCATCTCTCTCTCTCTCTCTCTCTCTCTCTCTCTCTCTCTCTCTCTCTCTCTCTCTCTCTCTCTCTCTCTCTCTCTCTCTCTCTCTCTCTCTCT